CACTTAATCTTCACTAAAACAAGTGTGTAAACAGATTAAACATCACTCTAATAACAAGCAAAAATAAATGGTAAGAATTAGTCAGTTAATTAAACTGATGGCTACCTTTCTTACTGCTGGATTTCCACTTTTTACAGTCTGAGCATCATGTGGAGATTAGCCTCTCACTCCTGCAGGRAGCAGTTTWTAATCACTGCGCKYTCGTATTCCAAAACAAAAGCTGTGCTCTCCTTTCTTCTGTCAGTCAAACCCAGAGCTAATCCMTGGGCAGCATTCTGCTGATGTCAAATTCGTAWGCKTGCTGTACTCGCTTATAGAACCACCGACTGGACCGGAGAKGAGGTTCTGAAACAGCGCGGTTGGAACCATGGAGACACTTTTGGATCGAGGCCGAACAGCATAGCTCCTGTAGTATGGCCTGGTTGTCTCTATAATACGGAAGCTCGGCATAGTTTACTTGGCATGTGAAAATACATTTTCTCAAAAGTATTTTGAATCTAAAAAGGGCAGCACTTGAGAAGTAGTATTGGGAGCTCAGCAGACAGTTTCAGTTTCACCAGTTGTTTGTTTTGTTGCTGCTGAGAGCCTGCATGAGTCAAGGGAGGGGGGTGGGGAGGTGTGCTCTGTGATGAGGAAGCTTGGCTTGGAGACACAGCCCAGAGGAGGAGCTAGTTCCAAAAGGCGGGTCTAGTCCCAACYGGTCGTTTTTGCTCCCCTGCCTGGCTGCCTCAGGAAAGCACAGGATTTCGCAAACATGCATGAATGAGTCAAAGTAAGACTCTGGGCATGTTTTTGATGAGAGGGTAACATTATAACATGATATAAAACTCAAAAAAGTTGATTTTACATGATATAGCTCCTTTACTATTAACATTATAAAGAAAAAAAAAACAGAAAACTAAGACAACTGTGAATGCTAGGGTTAGGGTTGGCATATGTGCTTGCAGTGTACTATTTTTTTAATGGATGCATGTTATATCGGCAGTAAAACCGGTATCAACCA